GAGCCCCCCACACAGAACCCGCTCCCGAGCCTTAACCCCGCCTCCTGAAAGAGCCCCGCCCCCGTCCGCCTTAGTCCCGCCCCTTGGCAGAGCCCCAAACCCGGCAACACTCCGATACCTGTAGAACCAGCCCCGCCCCGTGGCAGTGGCCCCGCCCCCAGAAGCATGGGCACGTGGCCAGGCGCCGTCAGTCGCCTCCTGCAAGAGCCCCGCCCCTGCAGCACTAGCTCCGCCTCCTCGAGGATCCTGGATGCGATCCTCCGCAGGAGCCACGCCCTCTACCAATAGCCCCGCCTCCTACAGCATTGGCCCCACCCTTGCACCGCGAGCTCCGCCTCTTCAAGTGCTAGCCACGCCCCCAGGAGCTACACTACCCCGTCTCTAGAAAGGGCCACAATCCCTTGAATCCTGCCAGAGCCCCGTTTTTGGAGGAGTCCTGCTCCCTCACCCCGAAACTTCTGCTCCCTGCAGCTCCAGGGCTCTAGGCACAATGCTGGTGATACTCCTGGATCCCACCCTGTGCCAGGGCCTTGCAGTGAGGTCACACCGCTTGGAAATGGCAGCAGGGCTTGAAATTAATCTGAATGGGACAGTCCACCCCTCTGGAGCTATTGTCGCTGACTGCCTGGTGTACCTGGGCTGCCTTTTGCATTCCAAGGGGCTTTTTTAAATGAAAACTACACTTGTTTTGTTAGTCTTTAAGGTGCTGCAAGACTTAGGCTATGTCTACATTGGCATGATCTTGCACAAATACTCTTTAACGCAAGAGTTCTTGCGTTAAAGTATTTGCGCACGAGAGCATCTACACTGGCATGTGCCTTTGCATAAGAGATGTGCTTTTGCACAAGAGCATCCATGCCAGTGTAGACGCTCTCTTGCGCAAGAAAGCTCCATGGCCATTTTAACCAAAGGGCTTTCCTGGGCAAGAAATTCATGTTGCCTATCTACACTGGCCTCTGCGCAAGAACAGTTACACAAGAGGGCTTATTCCTGAGTAAGAGCATCATAGTTCTTGTGCAAGAAGCCCTGATTTCACACATTAGAACGTTAGTGTTCTTGCGCAAGATCTCATGGCCAGTGTAGCCAGGCAGCAAGTTTTTGCACAAAAGCCACCGCTTTGGCGCAAGATTGCGCCAATGTAGACACAGCCTAGGGGTTTTTCTTAAGTTTTTCCCATTACAGACTAACGGGGGCTACCCCTCTGATCATAAATCATCCCAGAGATGGGGTTCTAGCTAGGAGCAACCTCCCTATGGGCCATGCTTTCCCCCACCGGCCACGAGAGACAACAGTGGGTGAGGGAACAGGTTTTATTGGACCAACTTCCGCTGGACCTAACAAGGTGCTCTGGGTCTCAAAGGCTTCTGGTTTTCACCCGCGGGGAAGACATCGCAGCTTCACCCACCTTGCCCCTAGCATGCCGGACCGGCAGAGCCCGAGCGACCCAGGGCTAGGAAGTGACTTCTCCACGGAGCCACGCTGAGCGGGCCCGGCGACACGTCCCTGCCCGTGGGCCGGGGCAGAGGCTCGCTGCTGAGCAGGAACCAGCCCAACAAGCTACTGGGG